CGAGTGCAGCACTTTCACAGCATCATCTTTTAGGATCTGAAATAGCTCAGCTGGAATTCCATCACCTTCACTAGCTTTGTTCGTAGTGTTGCTTCCTAAGGCCCACTTGACTTCACATTCCAGGATGTCTGGCTCTAGGTGAATGATCACAGCATTATGATTATCTGGGTCATGAAGACCTTTTTTGTACAGTTTTTCTGTGTATTCTTGCCACCTCTTCTTAATATTTTCTGCTTTTGTTAGGTCCATACCATTTCTGTCCTTTATTGAGCCCATCTTTGCATGAAATGGTCCCTTGGTATCTCTAATTTCCTTGAAGAGATCCCTAGTCTTTCCTATTCTATTGTTTTCCTCTTCTTTGCATTGATCACTGAGAAAGGCTTTCTTATCTTTCCTTGCTATTCTTTGGAACTCTGCATTCAAATGGGTATATCTTTCCTTTTCTCCTTTGCCTTTGGCTTCTCTTCTTTTCACAGCTATTTTAAAGTCTCTTCAGACAACCATTTTGCCTTTTTGCATTTCTTTTTCTTGGGGATGGTCTTGATCACTGCCTCCTGTACAGTGTCACAAACCTCCATCCATAGATCTTCAGGCACTCTGTCTATGAGATCTAATACCTTGAATCTAATTGTCACTTCCACTGTATAGTCGTAAGGGGTTTGATTTAGGTCATACCTGAGTGATCTAGTGGTTTTCCCTACTTTCTTCAATCCAAGTCTGAATTTTGCAATAAGGAGTTCATGATCTTGAGCCACAGTCAGCTTCTCGTCTTGTTTTTGCTGACTATATAGAGCTTCTCTATCTTTGGCTGCAAAGAATATAATCAATCCAATTTTGGTATTGACCATCTGGTGATGTCCATGTGTAGAGTCTTCTCTTGTGTTGTTGGAAGAGGCTGTTTGTTATGTCCAGTGTGTTTTCTTGGAAAAACTGTTAGCCTTTGCCCTGCTTCATTCTGTACTCCATGGCCAAATTTGCCTGTTACTCCAGGTATTTCTTGACTTCCTGCTTTTGTATTCCAGTCCCCCTATAATGAAAAGGACATCTTTTTAGGGTGTTAGTTCTAGAAGGTCTTGTAGGTCTTCATAGAACTGTTCTTCTTCAGCAGTACTGGTTGGGGCATAGACTTGGATTACTGTGATACTGAATGGTTTGCCTTGGAAACAGATCATTCTGTGGTTTTTGAGATTGCATCCAAGTACTGCATTTCAGACTCTTCTATTGACTATGATAGCTACTCCATTTCTTCTAAGGGATTCTTGCCCACAATAGTAGATATAATGGTCATCTGAGTTAACTTCACCCATTTCAATCTATTTAAATTTGCTGATTCGTAAAATGTCGATGTTCACTCTTGCCATCTCCTGTTTGACCACTTCTAATTTGCCTTGATTCATGGACCTAACATTCCAGATTCCTATGCAATATTGGTCTTTACAGCCTCGGGCTTACTTCCATCACCATCACATCCACAACTGGGTGTTGTTTTTGCTTTGGCTCTGTCTCTTCACTCTTTCTGGAGTTATTTCTCCACTGATCTCCAGTAGCATGTTGGGCACCTACCGACCTGGGGAGTTCATCTTTCAGTGTTCTATATTTTTGCTTTTTCATAGTGTTCATGGGGTTCTCAAGGCAAGAATACTGAAGTGGTTTGCCTTTCCCTTCTCCAGTGGACCATGTTTTGTCGGAACTCTCCATCATGACCCATCCGTCTTAGGTTGCCCTACATGGCATGGGTCATAGTTTCATTGAGTTAGACAAGGCTGTGGTTCATGTGATCAGATTGCTTATTTTTCTCTGATAAGGTGTAAGGTGGTTAGGGAGGGCATTTACAATAGGGCAGAGTCATGTGGGAGTGACCATAGAGTATGTTTAAGGAAGAGTGTTCTTCTGTAGGAAAAGCCTCCTGAATAATTTTTAGGTCAAAGGGCGTGTATATTTTAATTTCAATGAACCTTATCAAATTATTTTCACTTAAAAAATTTATATACTCTTGATAACTAACACAATTTTAAGCTTCACTCTTTCTTTCCATCATCACCAACCCCTCCCCCCCTTTTTTTCATGTTGAGTGTTTTTTTGCTTCTACTTTTTAAATTGGAGGATAATTTCTTTACAATATTGTCTTGGCCTCTGCCATACATTAACATGAATCAGCCACAGGTATACATATTCCCCTCTCTCCTGAACTCTCTTCCCATCTCCTGCCCCATTCCACCCTTCTAGGTTGTCACAGACCACTGCCAAACCCCCTTTTTAACCTTATTTGATATTGGTGGACAATAAATTATATGCTGTCTTAATGTGTACTTTGTTACTAGTAAGGTTGAGCATCTATCCTCTATTTATTATCCTTTTTTTTGTGTGTGTGTGTGCGTGTTTCTTATTTATGTGATTTGCAGAATTTCTGCAGGCCATGAACTATTTATTATACTACAGATATTTTTCCCTTGTTCATGGTGTGCCTTAAGATGTTACTGGTTACTAGTCAAGTTTTTGGCATATAAAATTTAAAACTTTGTTGACAACCTACCAGTTATTTTCACCTAAAGAGTTAGTGTTTTGGGTCACGTTTAATGGCCTTCAGCACCAACTAAGCCATGTGTCTAAAACAGCAAAGCCTTTCAGTGTTTCATCTAAAACATTAATTTCAAAAAAAAAAAAAACCAACATTAATTTCTTTGATTTACAGTTTACTAATGCTTAAGCCCTGAGCTAAAAATCCAGCTTTAAAAAGCAACACAATGCTTAGCTGTCATTCCTGGCCCTTAAGCATTTGTCTGCTTCAATTGATTCACGTGCTCCTACTGTAGCAATTCAATTTCCATATACTTGGATCTATTTTGTGACTCACTGCTTTACTGATCTATTTTGGCATCAATATCATATTGCTAATGATTAGAACTTTGTTTAGTGGCTCTTGGGTTAATCACCTCCTCAAGATTCCCTTACCTGCACAATGTTTTCAGAAGTTTCTTGAGCTTTTTAAACATGTTAATGATTAGAACCAACTTTTTTTTTCCCCCTCCAAATTGACTCAAAAATCCTACTGGGATTTTATTTGAGATCCATTAGAGTTACTACAGATTACCTTGAGAACTATTTTTAGAAACAGTACTATTTTTATATCTAAGGACAAATTTAGTTTTTATGTCCTTTAGTAAAGTTTTAGTCTTCTTTAGGCTTACACATTTCTCAAGTTTATTTCTAAATACTTTATTTTTATTTCCATTAGCTGTGTCCAACAAACTTAATATGCTGTATTTTCATTCCCCTCAATGTTACTTTTTATTTTTCTTGATGTTTTGATGCATGGATTATTTAGGAGTTTGGAAATTTTGCTCTTATATTTGTTATTTCTAACTTTGATAACATTTTAGTCAGAGAACACATTCTATGGTTTCAGTTCTTCTAAATCCTTAGAAGTTGATTTTATGGCCTGGAATGAGGTCTGTCTTGGTGAATGTTCCATGGTTAGAAAAGAATATGTATTCTGCTGTTAGGTGGAGTGTTCTATAGTGTGAATGAACTCCTGTTGGTTGATGGTGTTATAGTTTTTTATCCTTGCTGATCTGTCTCGCAGTTCTGTCAACTGTGGAATGGTTTTTACTAAACCACCACCACAGTGGCTTTTTCAGTTTTTACTGAAAGGAGGTAATCTGAAGCTCTTTGGTGTATAAGCCTTTAGGAGTGTTGTCTTGTTGGACTGAATCTTTTATCATTGGGTAATATCCCTCTTTGTACCTGGTGTATGCTGATCATTAGAAGTAGAGATTTACAGATCTTTGTTTTTAATACAGTGAATCTGGAGTGGGGCCTGGAAAGACTCATTTCTAAGTTTCCCAGATGATTTTTTAGTATTTTTCACTTGTTTGGTGGTGGTTTTTGTTTTGGATATATATCAAAAATACATTGCTGTGTCATATGGTAGTCCTATTTTTAGTTATCTGAGAAATCTTGATACTGTTTTCCACAGTGGTGGCACCAACTTATATTCTCCACCAACAGTGTATAAGAGTTCCCCTTTCTCCACATCCTTGCCAACATGTTATTTGTGTGCTTTTTGAGGCTAGCCATTCTGACAGGTGTGAGGAGACATCTCACTGTGGTTTTGATTTGCATTTCCCTGATAATTAGCGATGTTGAGCATCTTCTCATGTGCCTGTTAGCCATCAGCATTTCCTCTTCAGCCATTTTTGTAATTTAGGTATCAAGAGTTCTTGCTTGCTAACAATAAAAATTGGCTTGGGTTAACTTAGGCATAGAGGACTTTATTGAAAGAACATCCAGTAACACCGGCCAGATTGCTGGAGTCCCACTAGCAAGCAGAGTCCGACACCCTCTAGGGGACTGCCCTCCCTGATCCTGGCTGTGGAGCGCAGTTCTGTGACCTCGGCTGAACCCAGCAGGGTCTCACACCATCTTGGACTTTGAATCTGGTGCAAAGGATATGAAGTGGAGCGAGTTTAGAATTATTCAGGGGGTGGTAAGAATTTTGGTGTCAAAATAGAAGTGGCAGTAGAGGCAGGACCAAGACACTACGTTTATTCCCCAAAGCCTTCCTCCTGCTTCATCCTGTCAGAACTGAAGACGGCAAGTTGACTTTTAGCAGAAGGGGTATTGCAGGAAAGGAGAGGGTTACTGGTTAAGCGAGCTGAATTGGTATGAGAAGGGGTAGGAAAACAGGCGGCTCTCCCATCTTCCTCAGGTATTGGTTTGCTCCGATGATGCCCAAGGGGTGGGTGCAGGGAGCAGTCTGACCTGGCCCGTGCATGTTAACATCATGCCCAGCTTCTGGAAGAGTCGCACAAAATGCCTACGAAAGCTTGGCCCAAATAAATACTTGATCTAGGATGTCAGAATTGCACAATTTACAGAATGGCTTCAAAGCCTTTCATTTATGTATTTGGTGGGATGAATCCTTATTTTCCCTTTGGTCTGAAGATCAGTTGAAAAGTGAGTGGGATGCAGTATATTGAGTCATTCCTTGTGCTCTGCAGGTTCTTATGAGTGCATCGTTCCTGGGGGCCCTCTGTCTCTTCTCGTCTGTCTGTGTGGTATGTGCCATTTCTGCATTTACTCTCCCCATTGAGACTAAAGGACGGGCCCTACAGGTAAGTGATGTGGGAATCTAAGTATTCTCAATACCTTTTGACCAAAGGAAATGAGCTTGGAGTATGAAAATTCTTTTAGTGATAATGCCCAAGCCTGTGCTTACGTACTGGTACATTTGTTTAGCAGGTTCCAGTAGAAAAACTGGGTGTTCCAGTGTTCTTCCATGTAACTTTGAGCAGCACACTGATTATTCACTTCAAACCTTTGCTTCCTGTAAAGCTTGAACTGGCACTAAAATGAGTATTACTGATACCTCAGCATTCTACCATTTCCTCTTTTCTCTCTGTATATAAGCACTGCTGCAGAGCTAACCATGGCCATAGGGTCAGAAACAGCTGTTTGCATTGCCCGTAGGATCACAGAGTCTTTACTGTTGGTCCCGCTATCTTCCCCCCAGTTTTCTCAGCTGCCGGTGGTAAGAGTGGAGGCAAAAACTTCCACACTGCGCCAGCTGCCATCCAATCCTGACAGACAGACACAAAGTACATAAAGACATCCCAGAAGTATAAGGTGTGCTTCTGGGGGCAAAGTTGTATCAGAGACAGCTTTTCCTAGCCCTCTGCCCTTACAGTTGGCTGTTTCCTTGCCTTAAACACAAAGCTTATTGTTGGTATGCAAGGGCATGTGTGTACGCGCACACACAGGAAATGGGGAGAAAGCTGAGGTTAGTGTATACAGTTGACCACTGAACAGGGGATTAGGACACCAAACTTTCAGGCTGTCAAAACCCACAGTCTTAAAAACTTAGTCAATCTTCAGTGTCCACAGTTCCTCACATCTGCAGATTCAACCAACCATGAACTGCAGATCATACAGTACTAGAATATTTACAGTTGGAAAAAAATCCATGTAAAAGTGGACCTGCACAGTTCAACCCCGTGCTGTTTGAGAGTTAACTGTAGTTTGGCCAATCTGAGTTGCCCCATCTAAATGGGACTGTGAAATCATCGTGCTTGTTTGGCTGAATGCAGCCTTCCCTCTCTCCCATATCCTATTTATAGTGAATCATGGGCAAATGTTAATTATTTGTCCTGGTACAGATGTGTTTTGTTGTCTGAGTAGCTGGAAGACACTACTGAGTAAAGAGGGGGAAAGCACAATATGCTAGTGTCAATTTTTTCTTGTCCTAGATTCAAGATGTGTTATTCTGTTTTCCCTTTAAGGTAATATGCATTTTAATCACAGATTAGAAAACTTGCTAAGTAATTATAAATTTAGGGCTTTGTTTAAGTTTCTTACTTAGAAAGGTGACCTAATCATTGAATCCTTAAAGCCAGGGATTGTATTAGGTGATTCAGATGATTCCTTTTAATCTTAAATAACAGGATTATCACACTCTTCACACAGTTGAGGAAAGAAAGGCAAGGGAAAGTTGAGTAGCTTGTATAAAGGAACATGCTAAATACAGAGGGACTGGAATTTAAACTAGCTTGCAAAATTAAGTGGTGCTAAATCTTATGCTAATTTTCTATGGTGGTGGTTTTTTAAAGTAGTAGTAACACGTATAAAATGAAATCTGGCTCATCATCTCACATGCTTTATGGATTTCCGACTCAAGTCATATGAGCCACTGACAAAAATCATTCCCTTTTCTGTTGATTGAAATAATTTTACATGTCTGTTTATAAGACTTAATGTTAATAATACCAGTTCCTACAACTTTCATATGCAGATCCAATAAATGTATTTGTGTGGGAATGTAGCCCTTGATGGCTCTGCCACTCAATGGCTCTATGTCTGCATCTCAGCGTTCTGAGCACTCAACATATGAAACAATCTAGTGACCAACACAGTAAAACTTCTAAAAATGTTTAAAACATGCCCCAAATTTTACCTTTCAACAGCACAGACAGCATCCCAAATAATTCAAATGAACCAACCTGGCCAATAGTTAGTAGTAGTAATTCCAATTTAGAATTACTTTAAAAACTTATTTTGATAAACCTGGTAAACAATTAAAAAAAAAAAGGTAAGTATAATGTGACTTTTTTTCCCTAAATGATATCTGTAATTTAATTATAAAAGTACTATTGCATTGTCAGGTCCACAGGTAAAAATGTTAGACCCTTAATTCCTTATTAAAGAACCTCCTGTTACTAGTTTTTAGTGTCAGATAGCTGAATGTGAAGACTTAAAAAAAAAAAATAAATGTATTATCTATTACTTCTTTCTCCAGCAAATTAAATGAAGATCTGCAAATCTATGTCTACCAAAGAAGAGAAACGTATTTTTATCTTCACAAAGAGCTGTGGCACATTTAAAAACACCTGGTTTAATTTTGGTATACTACTTGGTAGTTAAGAAATTGATCATGTATTTTTGAAAAACAACATGAGCATGAAATAAGTTAGCTGTATATATAGTCTCTTAGGGAAGAGATCAATAGAGAAGTTTCATAAAATATACATTAAGGTTGGTGAGGGATATCTAGGAGAGATGGGGAGGGAGAAGCTGGCTTTCATTGCTTGGCATCAAGTCTGTTCATGTTTCTATGAATATGTAATAAGTATCAGACAAAACCTATACTTGATATTCTCCCATGAGGTATACAGCAAAAGCTGTACTGAAATTTTGTAGCTAGGACATGAGTTTGAGGTGGTATCATTAAGCCTTTCAAAACAAATAGAAGTCATCAAATTCACAATTAAAATTAGCATACTTAAATTGTGACCTCCATACTTTATAATGAAAATTACTTATTCATAAAAGAATGTGCTTAAATTCATTGCAGTCTTGTGTATATAATAACCAAGTAGCTGGGAATAAACTTTTCCCCAGACATTCTATTTTGACTCTAATTTCATTAGAGTATAGCAAGCTTTTCTACATGATGTAATTATATATCTTTGGAGAACAACCACTTGCATGCATATCATACCTGTGCACATAGGTATGCTGTGGAAGAAAAACACCCATGTTTTTACATTTAGTCTTTTGTTGCTCTTTGGATTTATGGTAGACGACTTAAAAGTGAAATCCATACCCAATGACTTAAATCCCCTACTCCTTCCAACCCCATTTTGCAATGGAAAAAAAAAAAGAATTTGTTGCTACAATGATGAAGTGTCCCTGGACTAGCGAACTACGTGTATGCAAATCATTCCTATTTGAACTATAGGCACAAATGGCTTGAAGTCAGGAAACTGACTATAAAGGGCCAGAGAGTAAACATTTCAGACTTTGAGCTACATATGGTCTCTGTCAACAGCCCTCGCCAGCCTTTAAAAATGTTAACATTATTAGCTCTCAGGCTGTATAAAAGGAGGCCATAGGCTGAATTTGGCTAACAGGCCATAGTGGTTTTTCTGAAGTAAGTTTGAAAGCTCAAGATGGAGCCACTTCTGCCCAGGTGCCATGTCAGCAAACCAAAACTTAAATAACCTTCATGTCCCTGTAAATGGTCCGCTTGACCAGAAACACGGTACATCCAGTTGGCCAGACACCAAGCCAAGTGTGGCTCTCTACTCACCTCCTTATTCCTTATTTTTTATCCTCCTGCCATCAGATCCCCTTTGCAGTTCTTTGGGCCCCTGCAAGTGGAGAGTGCCTGCTTCAAGTGTCAAAGTTTGTTTGAGCATCTGTAACAGTTTCTGGTGGGGGAGGATGGAATCCCAAGCTGACTTCCAATGGACTGTGGGACAAGATGCATAAGCAAAGAGCCCACTGAACAATTTGCGTTGTTTTTCTCATCATAACCAAGGGCAAGCCACTTAGGGATCTGAGCTCCAACCCCTTGTACACAGTTCTGATCCAAACAAACTTTATGTAAGGGGAAAAGTGCATTTGTGTATACTTATTTCCCAGAAAAGTTCCAAGACAGCTATATTGGGAACCCACAATGGGTGGCAGCCATTAGGGGATGCATAAAGAGAAGTCCACAGCAAAAAGTGTGGGGAGACTTGGAAAATAAGAAATCAGAACTGTTTGAATTAATGGCACAACAACATCTAAGTAGCACAAGTCATACTCTTAAAAGTCATTCGGGTGACTGCCGCTTTTATAAAGAAATTTTCTCATTTAAAGATTAAATAGATCAATTGCTAAGGGGAATCTTGAAGCCAAAGATGTAAAACTGGTGAGCATGGATCAAACACTTGAAAGATTTTAGAGTGCTTCCCACCTAAATCTAAGACTCATGTGCTTAGATGGTCATGGAATGGGTTAGATTGACACTAGGACACCTGACAACCTCAAGAAAAATTCTGTGCAACAAAGTACACTGTAAAATACCACCAGATCCCCAACCTCTTACATAGTCATCTGGTTCCCAAAGACCCAAGGCTTACCTAAGAATCGAGATCCTTGAGTTTCAGAAAATCGAGCAATCCACCTTCTGGCACACCTGCTTATTTTGTCATAGTAATTGTGGTCCTGCATGGAAGCAACCTAGATGCCCATCGGCAGATGAATGGATAAGGAAGCTGTGGTACATATACACCATGGAATATTACTCAGCCATTAAAAAGAATTCATTTGAATCAGTTCTAATGAGATGGATGAAACTGAGGTTAGATACACTATTTAAGAACTACCTGTGAAAGTGTTCCCAAACCAACCAGAATGGGATATCTATTTTAATTGCTATGCAGAAGACTCCAAAACACTGCAAAATTCCAAAACAGCTTCATTGAAAGATTCAGTGCTAAGGGCTATTGAAAAATCAGAGAAAACAAGACAGACTTGTCTCCAACTATTTTTCTTTACCTGAATACTGTCTCCTATTCATCTTAACTGAACTGCCTTTCCACTTTGAAGAGAAAGACCAAAAACATTCATCAAGTTGGTTTTAAAACTGCAACAGCTCCAAGGCCAGATAAGTAAGATAATAAAACCCCCTCCTCCGGAACTTGAATACCCCCTTATCTACTCTCAAAGGCGGCCCTTCCAGGGTGAATGGGACTCTGAGGGGTTTTCTGATAAACTCTTAACAGTTATTCCCTTAAACAGCCAAGGGCAAACTAAAATAAATGGAAAACCTTGTAAAATCCTAGTAGGCCAGAACTTACACTCTTTACTGTAAATTCTGCTCACTGGAGTCTGTAGATCTGGGATCCCGGGAAAACCCACAGAAGCTAGCCAAAAGTGAGAATTCTTACCCAAGTCAGCTCTTGTTGGTCCCTGGAGTTTCTGGTCCAGAGAGAAAATTCACGTCCTTCCCTTTCCAAATGAAGACTCTTAGGAATCTGGTTTGGGGAACTCATTGGTTATTGATCCTTTCTCTCCCAGGAATAGCTATTGCCTTCTTGGATCCTGAGAACTGGCTGGCCTTCCTGCCTGCTGACACATGGGGGTTGTTGGTTCTTGTGTATGGAGGCAGTTCAACTATCAGGCCACAAAATATAGTTGGACAGAAATGTGGGTTGCATCCCATTTGCAGCTTACCAACTGTTGCCAGCTTCTCCAGAAACTGTCCAAGTACTTCTTTCTTTTGGCTATCTTTGGGAGTGACGGGATCTAGGGAGAGTAGTAGCTCTTGGTGTTTGTTCAGTACAGCCAGGAACAGTCACTGTCTAGTCTGAAATTTGGTGTTGGGTGGATGGTCCCCTTGGTATCTTTCAGGTTGTAATCCTGTAATCCAATCCTATTTCCTGTTTCACAAATTGAGTCTTTGTAAGACCAGAAAAAGTTCACCTATCCTTTTTACTAACCAGAACCTCTCCCCTATCTCACAAGGCTTGTGAAAGTGAAAAGTGAAAGTGAAAGTAGCCCAGTCATGTCCAATCCTTAGTCCATAGAATTCTCCAGGCCAGAATACTGGAGTGGATAGCCTTTCCCTTCTCCAGGGGATCTTTCCAGCCCAGGATTGAACCCAGGTCTCCCGCATTGCAGATGGATTCTTTATCAGCTGAGCTTCTAGGTAAGCCCCAAGGTTTGTAGGTATTGTAAAAATGCTGGCTTCAGGTAACATCTTTCTTGGAGCAAGTTGCATGCTTTGTTGATGCCTGTGAGATGTTTGAGTGTCTTTGCTAGGAACTGAGGTTGGTCTCTTTGGAATGCAAACTTCAGGGAGGAAATTTACAAAAAAAAAGGGGGTGGGCAGTATTTGGAAATTAGGCAAATGAAAAAAATTTTAAGTAAGTCTCCTCCACAAGTACTCGTAAGAAAGTTTAAACTATCTGAGCAAGTAACCTTAATTCACTCCATCTGCCAGAAACACAATTTGGATCCAACTATTTTTATAAACTAGTGAGTTTTGAATTACCATACCCATCTTGTGGCTAAAATTGTAAAACAAGCTGTAAGATCAGTACACAGCTCTTATGTCTACGTGTATGTCACAGATGTGGGATTTTGTTCTTCTGGATGGTGTTGCCAAAATTTGTGAAGAGCTCCATTAAACGGACTTAAAGACAAATAGAAATTTATATAAATCAAATAAACTCTCAGAAATATAGAAACTAAGCCAAATATTTTTCAAGTTCATGTGATCTAAGATCATCTTTTGTTAAAAACAGTAGTTTAAGTTTTGTCAGTTTAATTAAAATAGACACATCTTTAAAGTTATCAACATTAACATAATGTGGACATACAACTTTTATTCTATCTAGGCTTACTAAATGGCTTCCCTCGTAGCTCAGTTGGTAAAGAATCTGCCTGCAATGCAGAAGATCTGGGTTCGATTTCCTGGGTTGGGAAGATACCCTGGAGAAGAAAATGGCAACCCACTCCAGTATTCTTGCCTGGAGATTCCCATGGACAGAGGAGCCTGGCAGGATACAGTTTGTGGGCATGCAAGAGTAGGACACGACTTAGTGACTAAACTACCAGGCTTACTAAAAGTCAAATAAGTTCCTGTTATTTCTTTTATAGAATTTGTCAGCAAGAAATTAGATGAAGATAGTAGCAGTTTAAAGTCTCATGAAATTTTCATGAGTAATCCAAACATAATTGTTAATAAACATAAATAAGTTTATAAAGCTTTTCAACAATAATCATGCTTTATGGTTTATTGACTTAAAAACTGTTTCCAAAATCTTTTTGGTACTTGAAACCTTAAAGTCATACTGAGATTAAATGATGGATATTTATTGAATCATTTCCAAGTAAGAGAAAACTCTGAAATATTAATTACTGAGCATAGACTTACAGAAAAACCAAAAGATATTTGGAACATGTTTTGTGTCACACTGAAAAATTTCCTGTGAGGAAGAATATACTTCCAGAAATTATTGCAAAAGCATTATCAGATAAGAAGTGATATTTAAATTGTTAGGTTATTTGTGCAGGTATATGTTATTAATATGTTATCAAGAAATTATATTAAATTCCAGATAATCTGACATTCTCATACAATGGTATCAGTCATAATTCCAGTTATTATCTTAAAATGTTAGATATCTATTTGTAGCTCATAGAAATAACCACATTTTCTTGTCAATTCCAAAACTAAACTCTTTTCAGCTCTCTAACCACTAGTATTTTAAAGTCTTGTCATTTATAGACAGTTATTATTTTACTCTGATCCTTTTACAAAAACGAGATTCATGCAAAGTACCCTACCAAGTACTCTTGACCACTGACACTGCTGTTAAAGTGTCAAACCTTTTTGTCCCTATTTCACAATTGTGTAAACATGGAAGACCTCAAAAACTGAGGAGGAGGAGTAGCCCACATCAAGGCAGACTGCTTTCTCCCAAGAATGTTATTACTCATATACCTCAGGCCATTTCAAATTGAACATAATCCAACTTCCAACCAACTGTTAGATTTGCGGTGATGCTGGTGATCCCGTTGTTAGTTATTTTTGCCCATCATAAACTTCCCCCCTGTTTTCCAATGCCTTAGTGTCTTTGAAACAAGCTCACTTGATAAACACTTCTGGAGAAGTATAAACCAATTATATGAAACACATAAATAGGCCAACTGGCTTTAAGAAGTATCCCTCTCATCTATATTTCTTGACTTCCTTGATTCTAGTTAGTTTTGGACATGGAAACCCTGGTTCAGGAATACTTTTCAAAACCATTGGTATTATTTTGATGCTAATAACTTTTACCTCCCTACTAGGCTGTGTTCTCACAAAAGTTTTAAATGCATGTGGGGGTAGCCACTGACCAGCTAAAGACTGTCTGACCAAAGAGAACAGAACATAACCAGTTCCAAGAATACAAGCCTGACATCTCTTCTGAACATTATACCAAAATCCAAAGTGGAAATAGTAACTGAAAGTCATACTAGGACAGATATTTTTAATTGAAACTCTCAACTGGTCAAGAGGATGATCCAAAGGTGGTACCAGGCCTATTCTAGGCCCAACATGAAGCCACTTCTGGTGGGGGTGCTATGTACACAAACCAAAACTTACTTTCATCTCCCAATAAATGCTCTACTTGACCAGACATGCCATACATTCAGTCAGCCAATCACCAAATGTCAAGCAATTTCTGGTCTCTATACTTTCTGGTTCTTTATTCTTTACTCCATAAAACTTCCTGCCGTCCACCCCATTTTGTTGTTCTCTGAACCCTTGCAAATGGAAATTGCCTTCTTCAAGAAGTGTTGAATAAAAGTTTGTTTGGATTACCTAAGTTGTCATCTTTAATACTTTTAAATAGTTTGTAGACCTTAGTCTAGTTATTAGAAAATTTTAGGCCAAAATATTTTTGAAGCAAAGATGTCTTGGCTACACATGTAGGGTTAGCCAAATAGCCCTTAGTGGTTCAGTGGTTAAGACTCCACCTGACAATGCAGGGGACGTGGGTTTGATCCCTGGTTGGGGAAGATTACACATACTCAGGGACAATTAAGCCCACACGCCACAATTTGAGAGCCTGTGCATCATGACTAACACCTGAGGCAGCAAAAAAAAAAAAAAAAAAAACCAAAACAAAAACCCATGACAAACTGTAACTCAAAACCCTAAAGCTGACCTTAGCAGTAAATAGTACTTAAAACCAAAGAATAGCAGTGATTGAAAACCACTGACAAAACTGATGCTTAAGCACCTTCCCAAGGATTTCAGGAACTGTCAATGTGGCAGTATCCAAGCTTAAGATACTATACCATGTTGTCTAGAACTGTCTAGTACTCAAGCCTCCTAGAAGACACTAAATTAGTCTACGGCAACCCTTATCAACATAATTTTAATTCAGATGCTGAATTTCAGAAATCTTTTATAAACTCATAAATATTGCTTACCTTAATCGTTTCAGGCACTAGTAGAAATGGAAGTTGACAAACGTCATTTACTTAACTTTTTTGGATTGGTTTCGCAGTCCACTAAAAGACAATGCTAGGTGAGGTATTAACAATAGTAATATAACTCTAATCTCTGTACAAGCATATTTTGCTTTATGCAGTTGGTGAAATCCCTATGTTACAGTTTTGTTTTTGCTTGTTTAAAAGTCTTCCTTTTATTTGTGGACTAGTAGCTATGGTCTATAGGGTTGCAAAGAGTTGGATATGACTGAAGTGACTTAG